CCTCCCCTCCAGAAGAAACAGCTGAACAGCAAGGGCTTACTGGTTTATTTAACTTAACGTGGCAGCTCGTGTTTTTTCGTTGCACAAAGGCTGTGTTACTTTTGGCAAAAGAAGAGAGAGAGGTTACTTCAGTAACATCCCATAGTAATTTGAGATGATTGCCTGTGAGGATCTCCACTTGAAGTGACAGTCACCAGACCCCCTCAGCTCTGAAGAGCAAGTATTATCAGAGGCTGTTGCCAACACGAGTCCACACACAATGGACCCATCATCTTATGAACCCGGAATGAATCTTACCCTGTTTTTTTGAAGACGAACAAGTGATTGTGTGCAGTGCTATTACCAACTTGCTGCCCAGTCACCAGACCCCCTCAGCTCTGAAGAGCAAGTATTATCAGAGGCTGTTGCCAACACGAGTCCACACACAATGGACCCATCATCTTATGAACCCGGAATGAATCTTACCCTGTTTTTTTGAAGACGAACAAGTGATTGTGTGCAGTGCTATTACCAACTTGCTGCCATGTGAAATGCATTTGGATGACTTCTGACTTAAAACTCATTGTGGCCTGAGGCTTCCTTGGACAGATCAAGGCACTTTCTTACTATTCCCTCTGCCAATTCTTACTCCTTTTAAGGACCAAGTCAAGCAAGGATTCTGAGGTTGAGAGCTCTCTGCTTTGAAATTTAGTCCTGCTGATGTACCTGAGCCTCATAAATGTAATAAAATAATAATGGAGAAGAGCTTTAGAAAACATTTTGTAAGAAAAAAATTAAACTAAAAAGCAGAGCTGTGTTAATGACCAATTCTACATGGGCTGTACTACACTGGGATAGCTGCAGACACAATGTAATTCTCATTAGCAATAAAGGAATACACACGAATAGGTGTAGCTTATGAAAGAAACTGGTTCGCCACATATGGAAACCCAAGCGTGACACAATGTACAAAGAAAAGTCAAGTTAATGCCTTCAGGGGGGGAAAGTATGTTATTTTTAAGACAGTCCCAGAGAGCAGAAGAGAGCCCAATGAGCCTTATGACACTCTACTCTGCCAGTACAACTCCAATACAAGAGCACTACTATGGAGTCACCCTTCCAGGATCTTTGCAGTAAGAAGAAAATTTCAAAAGACTGCAGCAATGAAGAGGATATAAGAAAACTTAGGGTTTGTCAGCCTTACATCTTAGATAGATTGGTCTGAAAGGGATTTACTTTGTTCCTTGCAACATTTTGTCTCTTAAGAACATTTTCCTGTGTCAGTAGCACAGAGTTTAATGCTGTTCCACTTGGTGAAAGATATCATGCCAAGAGCACATGGCAAATCTTGATGCAGGTGTTTATTTTGCAAAACCCAACAGACATGATCAGCAAACGTTAGGTTTTGTGATCAATGCTCCTCTCTGTGAGCACAAAGGAGCACAGCAGCACAACGGCAGGTGCAGGAACCCCAGTACGGTACCCAGAGAAATGAGTCTCTCCAAGGGGGCTGTCCCATGACAGGCATCACTTTGAGTTAGGGGGGTTGCTGCCTACAGGAGTGTGGGGACTCCTGGGACACAGGGGAAGAGCATTTCAGGATGGCACAAGGTCTATTACACAATTTGTAGCAGAAGAACCAAAAGCAGGAAAGGGAAGGATCGAGTTTATTTGGGGAGGAAGAAAGAGGTGAAAAAGAGGGATAAGAAGATAAAAGGGGCCAGTCAGCTGCAAAGAGGTACACTTGTCCTTCAGGTACCTCATCACCAGTCTGTCCTGTTTTCTCCTGGGTGAGAGGTCTCCATGCTGTGTAGACAGATGTGTAAGTGCCAGCCACTGGAGAGAGGACCATGAGTCACAGGGGCCTGCATGTCTTAGGTGCTCCTGCCTGTAGAGACTGGAGCATGTGAGTGTTGTGTCGGTCTGTGTGTGTCAGTGTATGACACCTGCCAACATCCAAGCTAGCCCAGCAGCCAGCAGGATGGCACGCTTGGGAGCCAGGGATGGATGTTGCAGAGACCATAGCTATGTTATTAGGGATACAAGCAGCTTTTCTTACATTCCTTTTAGAAGCATTAGGTGTGAAATGCATCAAATGTGCTAAAAGCATGCCAGGGACCCTAAGAAATGAATGGAAAGCAATGTCCTGTTAAGGCAGTTGTACTCACTCTCTTTGCACAGTGGCAATGCTTCTGAAATTCAGGACCAACACGTGCCTGTGGGGAGAAACAAGCAAAAAACCTCCCAAAACAAAAATCAAAGCATCTGAACAAAAACTTTATCTACTTTTAGAGAAAGAATAACAAAAAGCCTTCAACCCCTTCTCAGTCAGAACCCCAACAGACTAGGGAGTTGTATAACTATTATATTCATTGCCTTTTTTGCTTCCTTTTAAATTCAGTGATTTACAATTCTATGCTGAAGGACAGTGATAAAACTGGCTGATGCTTTACCTGGAGAAGATTCCTAGCCAGGTAAGTTTTTAAAACATATTCTTTAGTATCCTTATGCACTTATGTAGGTGATGGTTTGCTGCTTTGCAGATGTAGGTGAAATACGAGCCCCCAAAATAAATTATGATTTTTCTTGCAAAATGACTAAACAAACAACTTTCCAAAACGGTCACACTTGTCAGAAGTAACATTCTGAGTATTAATGAAATTCTATTGTATTCATTTATTTATGTAAAGAAAAAAACACTCAAAACTACAATTTTAGATTTGGAAAGAAACTGCTGAAGAGATAATCCTCTGTATTATTCTGTCCATCTAGATCAGTAATATTTCCTTGAACAAATCTTTAGAAAGAAAACACAAGAACCAGTAATGTCTTTTTATTAAAATACCTCTTAAAACACTCATTGTAATAAAATACACTGGCTGTTGCTGTAGGACATCTGCATACACACAATGCTTACAGCAAACTCTAGACAGCATCAGGAATTACAAAAAGTAAGGCAAGCCCCAGAAAGTGTGCACCCTCACTGCCTACTCTCTGGCCATTACACAGATAACTGTGTTTACATTTTTATTTTCTCCCCAGTGTTTGCTGGTTACTTGTTAGGCCAGTCCCCCATCCCTCCTGCTCCCTGCCCTTGACCTCACAGTGAAATTCTGATGATGTAAATGGAGATGGTGTCACTGATCATGGGTCAGCAGGTACGTAACCAAAAACATTAGCCCTTTTTTTTTTACCCCAAGAAGATTCTGAATTACCATAATGTTTCCAGTAATTTAACACTGCAAGAATCCAAAGCATGCTAATGGCCTGTAGCAATGCTTACTGTACATCTCCTATCAAGAATGACAATGCATCATCCTCCAGCTAAAAACAGACACAGCTACTCCAACATACTCTTTCTTTCAATTAATTTTAAGAAACTCAAGCAGAAGAAAAGATAATGAATTGTCAAATACAGGACAAACAACTCCTTCATGATAAGCTAAGTTTTTCTATTCACATCTATGATTTTCAATCACTTAATTGCAAGTTTGAAGTATGAAAGTATTCCATTACCCACTAGTTCAAAACAATAAACATTCATCTTTCAAGTACTTCTTTATAGCTGAGATTGAAAAAGTAACATTATTTCACAAGAGTAGATTTTTAAATTATTATTCTTTCATCTTACTGAAATAACTGTATCTTAAGAAAACAATGAAAAAACATTCAGGCAAACTTTTCAACAGAAGAAATTTAAAATTACTGCTTTCATTTGTACATGGTACAGATAGACAGGTGTGACTAAAAAACAGTTTCATACCTCTAGACTGAAGTTAGTGAGAGAAACATGAATAGTCAAAACCTTTTCTGTGTGTGCATAGGCATATATATGCAGTAAAAGAAAAAATTCAAGGACTTAAAACCCACATCATTATAAATACCAAAAGCTGACCATTAACTACTCATACACTTTATTTTTGTACTTAGTACCATTACCAGTGGAGACCTAACCGGGTCATAGAAACTGATATGTGACTGTCAACATATTAAAATTCATACTTAGAAAAATAGATAGAATGTTCTAAACTCAGAACTTCCTGATTTTGCCTCTTTGGACACATCCTCCCTTCTTCAGCGACAATTCATGGGAAAAAAAATACATGTTTTGGAATAAATATTCACAGCAAACTGGTAAATGGGAACATGTCTGCTGCCAGCTGCTCAGCTGGTAACCCTGTGCAACTTGCTGGTTCACGTTTTATTCCTCTTTATTCATTTAGCCATTAAATCCATAAGAACTTTTCATTTTTCCTTTACTGGCCTGAATATTCAGGGTGTAAACAACCCTAGAAAACTGTGCAAAAGGAGGGAAATGCAACTGCACTTAACAGCTTTGATATCTAAGAGAAGAGTGAAAATACATATATATATTTTTAATGTATAAATTATGCAATACCAGCCCCAATGTATTTATGAAAGCAGGGCAAATGGAATTTGGAATTTAAGTGTTTTGTTGGGCAGCCCTTCTAAGAAGTTTGGATTTTATCCATAACAGCCCATGCATTGAACTTGAAGAGAAAGCATGAATGTTTCTACTTCCTCAAATCCCATTTTCACAATAGAAGGCTAAGCTCAAAAACTGAAAGGTAATGAAGTAAAAAAGACAAAACCGGAAACTAAACCCCACAAAAAACAGCCCCTAAAGACCAACCACACCCACCCTCCAACCTAGCAGTTACTCAATTATTTGTTGAACTGAGATTATGGAAATCTCATTACCACATTCTTAAGGTTTCCATACTCTAAACTAGATACAGTACTAAATTCTGAAAACCAGTATACTCAACAATTTCAAATGAGAGGAAACAATCAGAATGGAAAGGATAAACATGGCTGTACCATTTGATCACAAATAAAGAAAAATAAACATATAACATAATGTTGAAACTATTTAGCCTTGCTTACATGAACAACAGCAAGAACAAAAAAACACAACCCAAAAACTTTTCAGATTTTATACATCTTTTTTCAACCAGGTACATTTAATTGCAACCAGTAGGCACTCCACCGAAACACGGTATTTGCAATCCTCATCTCTTTAACTGAGAGAGACTACTTTGGCCTCAGTATTGCTATATTACAGACTTCCTGCTTCAAAACATGCAGTTCATACATTTTACAGTTTTACTGCCATAGTCGATGCATTCTGGCCCGATGCACTCACAGCAGGCGTTGTGGAACCATCGGTACTTGGATGCTCCCATGGACTCGCACGAGATCTTGCACTGATGTATCGACATGCAGTCATCAAAATACACCACTGTACACATGTGCTCTAAACCAAGAAGCAGGGGGGAAACTGTTTTAAAACATCGTAAAATGTTTGTAAAGGTTGGTTAAATATTAATTAAATGTGCAGGTTTTGAAGTAGGATTGCAGATCACCACGACAATGAGGAGTAAAGAAAAAAACAGGTGACAGTGAAAGCAGACAGAAGAGACAGAAACCCAAGGTGCAATCTATCAACTTTCAGTTTTCAGTGTCTATAACTCAACCTGTTGTCTGCTTTGCCTCTGGATTAATTTATTTCTATTATAACAGGCAAGAACGTTTTTGTTGGGGTTTTTTTTGGTCCCACAGTTATGAGGGATACTTTTTAAAGTGTAAGGATAGGCTACACCAAAATAAGAAGGTAATACCTTTACCTTCCTTTACCTTTTCCTTATCTTTCTTTATACCTTTACCTCTGAAGGTAATACCTTTATCACCAAGATACCACTTTCACAGTTGCCAGCATGTACTTCATGCTATCATTAAAAAGTTCCATTTTAGAGAAGTTTTTAAAAAAACACCAAAACACCACTTATTTAAGTATAAACATTTCCTCTCCCCCAACTCAACTATATTCTTAAACTACATGGCATCAAAGAGTTAGAGAATCCCATTTTCCTCAACTTGGAAACTGCACACTTTTTTCTTCTTTTTATAGCAACAACACCAGCTTTACTACTAAGGTTAAGAAACCCTCTCTGCCCAAGTGTTGACTTTGTTCTTCTAACATCCATGCAATTACTAGAAATGTCATGAAGTTTGGTATTGCAACCTCATATTGGAACAGAGGCATTCACCACAACCATAAAAGAAAAACATCTGTCCCCAGTCTACTTCCAGTTCTCCAAGCTGACAGATTCTACCAGCTTTCTTCTGTGCTGACCAGGTTATTCTTTGTACATCCCCCAAAGGATCTGGGTTGCATCACATTTACCTTCAGCATAACTTGGCACATTTTGGGGAAAAGGACAACAAAAAGCTGTCTGCAAACATATATGTCTCACCTGCACACATCAAACAGATTTGTGAGCAGGAGATGCCAGAGACTTTCTAGCCTATTACTGCTTATGGTGTGTGGTTTCAGGAGAAACATACTGACCTACATTCCAATGTGGATTAGAAAAATGTAATCCAAATGTAAATGGTTAATCAAGACGGTAGGGTTGTTGTTTTTTTTTAATGATTATGGAGATATTGAGAAGGGGGAGTAACCAAAGGACTCTGTTAACCATAGTGTTAATTTAGTCTCTTTATCTGTGAGCAAGCCTTGGAAGGCTGAAGTGCCCCAGAATCTTCCCCTCAAAATATTGGTGCCCCATGGATTAGAAGCCTCAGCACAATGTGTATCTCATGGCAAGCTCCTAAGGTGACGTCCAAAGGTGAGTTGAGGCCATAAGAGTCTCCATCACCCTGCAAGACATCAGATGTATGCAGTTTCCCCCAAATCAACAACAGATGACTTCTGTGGGCATGTGGCAAGGGACAACACAATGTAGAGGAGAGCACAAAGTACCCGCCAGCTCTCCTGTGGACACGTCCTCCTCCTTGACATATGGAAACCTACCTACCCTTTTAAGAATTATCACTTGTCAAAACACATGTGAAAGAACCCTGATGCCTGTCAAACTATTTTACTACTACCTCAACAGCTCAAAAAGGTCACAGGACATGTTGCCATCCCACTGAAAGCAAGTATTAACCACCTTGTTTGGGCTCTGAACTGATGTACAAGTCTTGCAGACACCATTTATAGTGCCACAGGCCATAAGGACCTTGGGGAAGAAATGCAGATCCACAGCTGAAGCACTTTTCTGTTCCCAGGAAAGCTGTGCTGTAAGTAAAGCAGTAGATATTTAAGAAATCTTGGAGTACCTGAAGTACTGCTGGGAATGTCAACAAAACACACTGCGGCTGTGCAAGTTCTGTTCCATTTTTGGCACTTTTATTTCTGTGACCCTTTAAAATAAAGCCTGAGGCACAGAAGCCAGAGGGAAAGTTCTCAGAGAGTAAAACCTCTATTTAAGACCAACCAACATATCTAAGGCTTCATTAATGATACTTCATCCACAGAAGAGGAAATAAAGCAAAAAGTGTGTGCTATGTCAGCACAAGCAAAGAGTGACCAGCGAAGTTAACACCTGCCTGAGAGTTGTGAGCTGGAGGCACAGAGCCTCTGCCCCAAAACAGGCAATCCTGGCTAATCCAGAAAGCCTTCTTGCTGCAAGATTTGCTTTTGAGATGCCAGGTCCACCTGACTGGCCTAGTCTCTGGATCAGCTTGAGAAGGCAAAATGACTCATGGCTGTCTCTAGATAGTACTGGAACAGCTTGTTAAAGAAACCAGAGTCCTCTCCAAAGGCAGCCAAAGTACTCACAGCTGTCATGTTGATCACTGCACTCCTACTTGCAACATGCAAAGTCAGGAAAGCTTCTTGGGAAAGTTGTGCACACTCTGAGGTGTGTTAGCCACTCTCAGCACTTGCAAGCTCTCTTCACACCAGAGAATGACCAGTCCCCTCTGTTAGAAAACATCTGTGTTAAATTCAGCTGTGTCAGCAGCAGTTCAGAAATCCTGGAGGAACCCAGTCCACAAAACTTGAAATAAACCTCTTCTGGAAGAAAAGCTGGTAATTTCTAGGATGTAAAGATCAATGACGCTGAACTGAGAGACTGAAGACTTATCTTGGGGTGGAGGAGACCAGAGTATGAGCAGCAACAGGCCCATAACCTTAGCAAAACAAGATGACAGCAGTCAGGCCCTGTGAGACTGGTCTCCTCAACCTCCTTCCCATTACGAAAATGGGAACCCAATCCAGACCTCAACCTTATTAAGGTAGCAGCAACAAACAAGGATGTTAATCTTGACTGACTGGAGAATGAAGATGAAAGTTTATTTTCACCTGCACACAAGCCAAGAGGATTAGGTCCTAGAGGACCAGTCCAAAAATGCTGTGAAGTGGAGAGGACAGACCATACATGGCAGGTCAGAGCCAGCAACAGATCTGGCTGGTTCCCAGCAGCAATCATAAGCAGCTGGAGGACGTGCTCCGTGTGTGTGCTACCAAACTGTTTCTGAAGTCTGCCTCACTCAGAGACTTGCGAGGTCTGAATGAGTTAGATTGGCCAGGGTGCACTTTGTTCATCATGGAACACTCTTGATCTCCTCCTCAGCAGCTGTTCTACATGTGCCCATGTAGAGGCTGAAATACTGAAAGCAGGGAAGTTCCTTGCCTCAAGCATTAAATCCTTCTTTATAAGCTGCAGAAACAGAATTACACTGGGGAAAAAAATACATACCTACAGGCTCAGCTGGGATTCGAAAGAGTATTTAAATGATTTCACAAACCTAATTACATAGTCATCATGTGGCTCCCTCAGTGTAGATAAAAAGAATGTTACTCAGTGCAGTAAAACCTCTTCCAGTTGCATTTTACCAATTTTCACACAATAAAGACTACAAACACAAGCTGGCAATGTGCACTTGCAGCCCAGAGAGCAGCTGCGTCCTGGGCTGCATCTAAAGAAGTGCGGCCAGCAGGGCAAGGGAGGGTGATCCTGCCCCTCTAATCTGCTCTGGTGAGACCCCACCTGGAGCACTGTGTTCAGTTTGGAGCCTCCAACATAAGAAGGACATGGAGCTCCTAAAGTGAGTCCAGAGGAGGGTCCAAACATGATCAGAGGGCTGGAACACCTCTGCTATGAAGACAGGCTGAGAGAGTTGGGGTAGTTCAGCCTGGAGAACAGAATGCTCTGGGGAGACCTTATAGTGGCCTTTCAGTGCCTCAAGGGGCTACAGGAAAGCTGGGGAGGAACTTTTTACAAGGGCTTGTGGTGAGAGGACAAGGGCTAATGGATTAAAACTTAAAGAGGGGAAATTAAGCCTAGACATTAGGAGGAAATTATTCATTTTGTGTGGTCAGACACTTTAAAAAGTACTTTAGAAAGGCAGTTGCCTATCCAGCAGCTGTACCATTTTATGCCATTCAAAACTTATAAAAAGAAACATGAATAAAATAAATTAAAATCTTCCTAGAGTACCTACAGAGGTAGATGCCACTTTACTGGGTTTCTAGCTCTCCTCTACTTAAATGGTATTGGAAAGGAGCGGAAGTGCAGAACCGGCACCATCCCCTGTGTTACCACGCAGCTTAAGTCAGAAACTCTTAACTACAACATAGATTTTGTTTCATCAGTTGCCAAAAGATTATCTAGTTTCCCTCCCTCTCTGGCCAACATCCTGTCATCATCTGAAACAATTAAGCTCACTCGATCATCTGAGCTTGCAGTTCAGAGCTCTGAGGGTATCAGCTAAATGTAAAGCAAAAAGAATAAATGTAGCTCTAGATTAATAATCATTGCAGCCTTTTCTGAAGAAGTGGCTCCAATGCCAGAAACTGCTGATACGGAGAACTCCAGCAGTGCCACTAGTGCACACTTAACTTTGGCAGCTGAAACGTTAAAAGTCAATTCACAGGAGGAAAGGGAAGACACTCATTAAGATAATAATGGGGAAGTTCAAGGTCTGGCAGCTGGGCTCGCAGTAGGCTGGGGTGAGAACGGAATGCTTTATATCCCACCACACCCCACCTCCTCCCGGATCTGCAGCCGCCCTCCCAGGGCCAGTGGCTCAAGCCGGATCCCGCGGCTGGTGCTGCTTTTCCTGGCACTCACCCAGAACTGCATCAAGCAAGTCCAGCACCCTGGACTCGATGGTGATCCCTGCGTGAACACATGTTAAAATTAAAATCAGAACTGTGCTACAGGAAGTGACAAGGGGTATTTGTAGGCAGAGCCCTTGTAAGCTCAGGGATTGATTCCAGAAGACAGCACAGAAACTACTGCTGCCTTACCAAAATCTACCTCTCCTCAGCCTCTCTCCCTTTGCAGGCAACGCAACAGGCTGCTGCCAGCACAGCATGTTGGAGTAAGCATGCAAGGAGCCACAGGAGAACCACAAAATGGAGGAGGCACAGCACTGTAAAGAAAACACAAAATATCTGTGTTCCAGCTCACAGGAATATTATTTCAAATCCCTGAATGTCACAGCCTTGAAGACAACTGCTTAGTGAGTCACATTAAGGACACCTCCATTTGCAAGATCTGCCCTTAAGCCTAACAGCATGTTTGGGGAGAAGGGAAGGGTAAAGAGATGGTCCTCAGTTTCCTCTGCTGCAGGCTAAGCTTGTATTTACTGCAACTGAGCATGCACACATACACGCTCTCACCCTCTTTCAGTGATTCTTCTAACATATGCTAGCTTGTACAACCACAGTGGGACTCAACTTTTCATGGTCAGAACCTGTCAGACTCCAGCAACTTCCTAGGCTCCTTCTCCATGTCCATGCTCTTCAGCTCTTGACCTTCTAAGCCCTTCACCTTTTGATTACTGCTTCACCAATTAAATAACTCATCAAGAACGTATTAGAAACAATGTCATCCCATGCCTCACATGACATCCAGCACAACAGGTACCACTCCCCTGTTTGTCCTTCCTTCCACCATAATGAACACCAACTGACTGAGGCCAACTAACAACTGTTCTTTCCAGCTTCTCCTGTTATCAATGCTCAAATCATCCATGTTTTTATAGACAATTTTTAATATGACTTCTGAAAAAGCAGAGCACTACAAAGTCATCTACATTGTGACCAAGAAGAGGGACTCCTAAACAGGCTTATGTATTTAGATACTTAAAAGTATGGGATGTTGAAAGCCATTTTCTACCTTTTCCAGTTCTTCACTGATCACTAAGATGAAGGAGGCATACAAGAACAGCTCTGACCTTTATTTCTTTTCTTAAGTCTGAAAACCAGTGGCATTTGGTAACTACTTCCAAATATAACTGTTGTTTTTAGACTGTTGTAATTCCAGTGAAAGCTCTCTCAACCTAATCTCTAATACATTCATAGTAAATGAAGTGAAGGAGACACTGGACTAAGAAAGAATTGCAACGTTATATATTTGTCTGCGTTGTTAAACTAAAAACTCCTCCACACCCTTGAGATGCAATTCAAATTCCAAGTTTAATCCAAAACTATCATTAGCCCATCCTGTTGGTATGGTAGTAAAGGATTGTCAGGGAACAGCCATCTGGGCTGCAGTACCAAAGTACAGTGGGATATATTCAAGCTTGTTCTAAGCATAACTTTTTTTTCCCCCAGTATAATTTACATCTTTAAATACTGTAGCATTTGCACACAGGGCCTTTTGTGGCTTGCCATTTAAAATGGCTTTCAGCATCACTCTCATGATGCCAAGCAAGCGTTTTAATAATGTCAAAGACATATGAATGAGATGCCTTCTGACCATCTGGCTTCCCAGTTCTGGAATTCATTTATTTTTCTAACGTGCCTTAACCAAAGGAAATTAGAAAAGTTGCCATTACAGTCCCATTTAATCAACAGCAGTCCTACTCAGAAACTAGGTCAAAGGTTCACAGTGGCATAGTATGGTCCATCAATTAAGAGTATCTTTCACTGGTGAGATAAAAGAGCCATCACAACAGCAATATATGGGGCACAAATACTTGTGTGTTGGGAAGGAAGCACTTATTAATTACACTAATAAAACAAATCAGATGCCCTTTTTTCCCTGTTCAGCAGTAATTTCACTATGAACTCTTTATGAAATTCTTTTAAGACTGATGTAATGATTTGTATGGAAAAGTACTCCAGGTTTAGTATGGAAATCAAGAAGCAGAGAGTGTTTTCCTATGCCACTGTTCTTAGTACCTCAAATGTCTCTTCTGTCTCCTCAACAGCAAACAATATCCTGAAGTCTGTTCTTTAAACTGACGGTGAGAATACAAAAATTTGTATTTAAAATAAGAGGAATGAGTCCATAAATTGAACCCTAGCCCCCAAATTGCTTATTTTTAAGATTGTCTGTCCTATATTCTGTCTTCAACATAAAGAGTTATCTTGCTAATCTTACTCAGGTTTACTGTCAATCCTGGGTTTCCTACAAACCATCCTTCTAAAGACCTCAATTTATGCCAGCTCAGACCAAAGAAATAAACACCTACTCCAGACACAATGGCTTATGGCACGTGGCTTTCTCAAACCTTTGAAGCCGTATGTTTCAGTTGCCTACTTCTGCACCGATACACGATTTGGATTCAGTTTTTGGTTGGTTTGGTCTGCTAAGCTATAGGTAACTGCTTCAAAGTCTGGTGCACATGAAATAATATGAACAAACTGCCTCATGCTACAGAAGGACTTATAGAGATGTCAAACTCATGTGGTTCAGTGTCCCCTAAGATAATCAGACAGTCTTCTATACTCCTTAACACTTTTGTTTCACTCCTCTTGTTACATCAGGTTCAAAATTAGACTGAATGTTTCATGGTTTTACAGGAAAAGAAGAAGCAAGGACAGAAAAGCACAGAAGATTCATTGAGAAGGCTCCTGGAAGAGACAAGAGGAAACAGAAGGAATTTAGACACTACACTTATTACCTTTGTCACTAGAGTAAGGTGTGTGGACATTGTTGCTTGGAACAGAGACATTCTGATGCTGTGGCTGGTTCACTGTTTCTAAAAAGGAAACGAGGTTCTCGTGGTGCGACAGTTCTTCTGCCACAGGGAAGGAAACGATATTCCAGTTCAGCTGAGTATCCCCTTCTGTCAGCGCCCGGAAAAGGGAAGGAATTGGTTCATGCAACTCTTCGACAGTACTCTTGGATGTTGGAGGTGTGTCGCTGTAATTGCGAGGATTGCACATACCTGCAGAGGAATGAAACACTAAGTTACACTACACTCCCTAAATTACTCTTCTTGAAACAGGCAGGAATATCTAGAAAATTTAAATTTTTTTAATTTTTTAAATTTTTTTAATTTTTTTTTGTGCTAAGCAGAACAGAGCCCTCATCTACCTATCCCACTCTTCACTCAAGAGCAAAAGCAGCAGGGACAAGCTTTCCATAATGGTAAGTTCCAGATCTCTTCAGACTTCAACAAAAGGCACCTGCAACTTTTGAGATCCAAATGAAAAGAAAAAAATCTACTTTGCACTTTCCTTCCTTTTTTAGCTATGATTAGAGTTTAGAATATGAAGAGTTCAACAAAAGGTTTGTTTCCCCTGGGAAAAGAGACAAAGCACAGTATAATCCATACTAGCATTCAGCTGGATTAGAAGTTTACCACCGAAGGCAGATAGTATCTTGACAAGTCCTGAGGTTCATGAAACTTTTGCTCACAATTCAAGTATCTGATCTCATCCACTGCAGCAGTGCATTAGAGCTTATCAGCTGTCTGCTGGACATGTAAAGATAAGTATCAGGAAGGAGCAAGAGTCTGAATTACTTTACCTGCTCAGAGACAGCTGAGATGAATGTTTGCTACTCAGTTGGATGGGTCACTACAGGCAAAATGCTTATTTCCAGGTTACCTCTTCTTTGTTCTCCCCTCTCTTTTGTGCTATGTGTTTTGAAACCTTATAAACCTCTTTGCCACTTCCAACAAAATGCTTTTCTGATGTGCAATGCAGGCACCAATTTTTCATTAGCCATTTAAACACTCCCATTTATTACCAGCAATGAAACTGCAGCGTGCTTTGATTTAATCCAAATATTGAAATAACCAAGATAAAAGAAAAGTTGTACCTGCATAGGCATTTAAATTCAGAAGCCCTAAACTACTATTAGAAGACACCTGGCCAGAGACAGACAAATCCCTTTTCCTCATGTACATCTGGATATCACTTTGGGTATTTTCACAGATGGTGTTTCAGACAGCTACAGCTGCAAAGCACACCAATCCTTAAAGTCTCTTGTATCAAAGTGGTATGGGGCACAAAGGTCCAAAGTGCACTTGCCCCACTTAACCAGGAAAGCATTTCCTGCCCTGCAGATACATCAGGACTCCTACTTTAGAAAACGTGTTCAACTAGAGCCTTATATAAACCCACAATCTTTTCAATCTAAGTAGATGGGTTTCCATAATGAACAAAACAGAGTGAAGTTCATCCATGATGATGAACATGCAATCTGGCAAGTCTTAAGCAAGCAGTTAGCATTACCAGTATTTAATAAATGGAGTAACACGAGACAGTATGCTCCTCTTAAAAAGGTAAGCCAAATATTGGTTAGAAAAAAAATAAGCCTCTCCTCCAAACAAGATCAGGTCACATTAAAAAATAATTCCACTTACACAAACTTCCTACCATAAACTAGGATTTTCCAAGTCCTCTCGGCTATGTTTGTTCTTTACAGATGGTCCTGGGGTCAGTGCTTTAATAAAAAATGTCTGTCTTTGCATTAACTTTTAGTAAGCACTTTGAATATTCACCCTACCACCGTAATAAAGGATGTTAACTTAAAATTCAATTAGGAAGATATCAGACCAGGTTAAGAGTTTGGTACAGAGACACTGAGAGATGTATACTTTAATTATTGTATTGATGTTGTGAAATTAAAACCAGTAAGCCTCTTTAGAGCCTTTCTGTCAGGCTGCATTCACAAAATAGATTTCCCTGGAGAATATATAGAAAAAAATACTCATTGAGATTGTTTATAAAATTATTCCAAAATATGCACAGTTTGTGTGCATGTAAATCTAATATGAAATATTATCTTAAGATGGTACTAAGAAATCATTGCTCATAGTTTAATGGGTAACTCTCATTCCACAAAGATCCTTCCGTCTTACTATTTTTTTCTAAGTAGTTTAATGATAAAAATTATATATAATATATAATAGTAATAATTATAATGCAGTAGCTTTGGTTAAAATAAAAAGGCTTAATTTATGAGCAACTGGTAAGGAAGAAATACATGTACATTACTGCTTTGGAATAGATGAGAAGATGCAGAAATTGGCGATTAAAAGGATGAACTGGAAGAGCCTTTACATGAGGGTCTACAAGAGCCTAACCCACAAAACAGAAAAGTAGAGGAAATAGGGACCTGGTTTTGTTCTCCCTCCTCCAGTGTCTCTGTCCTATTAAGGAAGGGACAGAACACCCATGCAAAACACAGGGCATCAACTGACCAGAGGTCAACTGAATGGTGGAGGGTAGAAGGTAATTCCTGGCCTCCAAGTAGAAGTGCCCTGAAAGACACGACAGCCTATCTGCTTTTACGTTACTTGATCCATTTATAAAGAGACTTAAATATCAGCTCAAGTATCAGCAAAGAACTGTGTCTGGGAAGCTGGGTATGGCATACACTCCTGTTTGCTGAAGCCTATAGCAAGATGATGTAAATGAAGAACTACTTCTGAACAGGACCAGACCATAGAACCAACAAGGTCTAAGGCTCCCACAGAACCACCAGGAGATGGTTTAGTTTGCTCAGTACTGGAAAACTGATCCAAAGACATTGTTGACTTATCTCCTGGATAACACCATGGGAAATAGCAGCAGAACAGTGGATTATCTACAGATTCAGGAAAAAATGTGTGTGGATTTAGGTTGTTGGTTTTTTCCCCCTCACAATCCCAAGAGGCAGGTTCTTTTTTTCCCTAGAGGATATAAGCACACTACACCTTGCTTTCTACAGCAGATAATGGTTCTGAACTAGGGAAAAAACCTGCTATCCTGTTCCCATCCTTATGACTGAAAATTACAACAATGCATTTTAGCACATTACAAAAATCAAGAAGGGCAAAGGAGTAGGGAAAAAATAACATATATACATACATAACGTATATATATATAACTTTTCAAGGACTGCACTAAAAGATTTCAGATCAAGTAGTGGAAAAAAAAGAGATGAAACTTGAAGGCCTGTTTCTAAATGTATATCCTACACAGGGGCTGAAAACACTTTCTGCCTTTGGGAAGAATAACACACATGCTGGGCCATGCCACACCACTGCTTACTGAAAGACAGTAAAGCAAAGGTAAGCTAGCCAGAACACACACACAAAAAGCAGGATATAAACATTTTGCCTGAAGTGACTCCTCCAACTAATAAAGCATATTCACATCATGATGGAACAGGAGTAGCAATGGACTGCACTGAAAAGCAGCATTTTGAAGTTATAATCTTCATTAATTCAGAGAAGCCCCAGTCAGCCAGAGAAGCTGAGAGCAGGTACACCAGTCAAGACACATCCCTTTCATGGAAGACAGGTGGATTCTCAATGGCAGCAGCAGGAGGCTGCCAGCAACCACAGGAGGATGAAACTTTCAATACATTTAAAACTAGAAATGGAATTAGGATATATCCTCCATAAGCAGGGGCAGCATTCACATGCAGAGATCTGGAATCTCTGAGCACTACCTGTTAGTAGTAATGCTGCTCTTGTTAAGACTGTCATCTAATCCTACAGTAAGAGCTTGTATGCCTCTTTCTTAACCCTTCACAGAGAGCTCTTTGTTCAAGTAAAAGAACGAGGAAAATACTGGGCCATGCACTTTACTACTAGTGCCAAGGATTTAAAGGGAACTCAGAATTGTCCCCGTGCTGTATCTGTTGATCACTTTGCAGTTAGAAACCTCCATACAGCATCCAACCCTATGAAGCAGGTGCTGCATAGTTTCCTCAAGATGACAATTTGAAAAGGAGTTTTTGTTTTAGAGACAAAATTAAGTCAGTTATGATGACATTAACCAAGTAAAATCTGGACTACAGCCACTCCCCACTCCATAGAGCAGATACAACTTCCAAATACTTGTTTCCCCACAGTAGTTTATTCAATGCCCACAGAACGAGCCGTAAGATGTTTCCAGCACAGATTATGTCCCAACATTTTACTTCTATAATAAGATCATGAGCTCAGCATGTGGCAGGAGGAAGCAATTTAAAAAAAGAAGAAAAACCCAAAGAAATACAAACTTACCAACACAGTCACAGCACTCATCCCAAAGTGTGCCCAGGCAGAGCATGCACTCCTTACAGCAGGAGCAGTTCCCTTCCCCGGGGCGGCACTGACACAGCTCCTGAAAACAACATAAACTCATTACAGCTCAGCAACCCCAGATGTAAAATGCTTCCATGGCAGAGCAGTTCTGCCTCAAGCCACAACTCAAACTGCAGCATTAAAAAAAGCTTAGTACACTAATACAGTGAGTAAGTGATAAAACAGTTCCAGCCAAAGAACCAAACTTAAGTCTGCAAAAGGATCTTTTGCAAGCTCTTTTTTAAAAGGTGAAATTCCAAAGACAAATCTGAAGTCAAGAAGCATTTAAAAGAGAGAAAGTGTTATTCATGGGAAAGGTGTATGCGCTTCTATGTATACCTGAATATAAAAGCTCTTTGAAGGTCTTTCCCATCACAACAGGAAACTCAAATAAGGATGTTTCTTTATATATAAATAGTGTGCCTATGTTATAATTTAGCTAAAAAAGGAAGTTACTATAAGCAGCATGTGCATACTCAAGAAGATACATATCGACCATCACACCTATTCATGGATTTTAAAAGGAACTTACTCCATTAAGTCACCTGACCACAGGATGTTGTACATCTCTGAATTGTTACACATTGCTCTCTCCATTTGCAATATTAATGACCAGATTATTCCCCCTGCTGCCCCACCCCTGCCCCTGGTCCAGTCGATCCATTTTTGCAATTGAAAAAACAACCCTCCACCTCTCCCCTGCCCCCCACTCAACACCTTGGAATACTTCCAAGACTTCTGGAGCTTCTATAAAGTGAAGTGATATGCACACACATTTTTCTTTAACCAGTATTAAACAAAAAAGATGAAAAAGACATGGAAGCAAGAAGACAAACCTTTCTCTTCATGTTACCTAAACCTGAAGGCATTGGTTTAGCAGTCCTGTTAGAGATATACACTTGTGGACCTCAAAGTATGCCAAAGCCTACACAGATGAAGGAAATCTAAAAACCAGGCTCCTTCCATCTAGCTCAATTCCAGTTCGGCCAAAAGACTGTGGCTCCTTGACAATAATATACAGGCTTGAATTACACCATAGTGCAAAATGCAGATAGCCAAGAAGTCACATTTGGTTGTCCTGTCTAAGAATTTGGTTTTGATGACGTCTGTCTAACTATCATGTTACGCACAACTGGTAAGAAACCAAAATCCCGTTACTGGAAACACTGACAACTGGATCCTTCCCACCCCTGGCTTTACTGGAAGAGCCATTGGCAAATCTCTGTTACACATCAGGCTGTGAAGAAGATGACGCCCATTCCCGCTCTTTGATCCCACTCTCCAGAGGCAGGGGAGGGACACTCTGTGGTGTGGTTGGGAGATGCACTGGGACAGGAGGGAAGGGCAGGAAGATGTTTTGGTGTGAAATTCTCCTAACCTGGAGTCACTACCCAAGGTTCTACCACCCTTAGGTAACCACAGCTACGTCAGGGACACCACTCCTTACAAGCAGACACAAACATCACCTGCAAAGTCTTGCTGTAACACATTGGGAAGAAGCCAAGGGGGAGAAACTCCACTTTTTAACTTATTATTTGCTTGCTATTATTAAGAAGCATCAGGCAGGGGAGAAAAGAGACATTTTTTATACCAAATGTCAGGAGCACATTTGCTAGGCAAGCCAAGGCACAGAGATGCACCTGATGGTGTAGGACCTCTTTTCTCTATTCTGCAACACTCGCAACTGCAAATACCTGCAGCCTGTGGAGTTGCGCAGGGATCATCCTGCTCTTGTGGGCTCACAGAAGACAAAAGCGTGCACTTCAGAGGGCAAGATCTGGCTGAGGATGGGGCTCAAGAACACAGTGGATGTAGCTTCAGGGCTCCCCATTCTGGACTACAACTGAACAAACTCCCAAACCTGGTGCAGATGTGCTAAAATTTGATAATGCAGTAAAAATTAATTGATCTCTTATTGTTCCATTCACTTGATCCCAGATCACAATTCTTCTTGAAGCCAGCAAAGAAACCAGGTTAACAAGCTATTGTGTGTTCTACTTAATGCTGAGAAATGCAGCTGCTTGCACAGTTTATTGTGAACTCTTTGCCCTGCTGGGTGGTTGAGCATGAACTCCTCCTCTACATGCATTTCTGCAATAAGCAGTCTCAGTAAGTCTTAAATTTTCATTTACAGAATGGAAAACTACCAAGATTTTTTTACTTTTCCTTCCTCAAAGTTTATTCATGTCACCTATTACTACTCTGTTTCCAAGTGAAAATGAAAAACAGGCTCATTAATAAAATATACAATTTTTTCCACAAGAGGAGACACTACAAACTTAGTAAGATGACTTATGTGAATAAATGACGCATTTCTAAAATATTTATCTTACTGTTTGATAAACAGATTGTGTCAGCCTTGAGAATAAAAAGACTAAATAAAACAATTTTAAAAGCAACCATAAGCTAAGTACTGTTGCCTTGGCCAGAAAATAGTTTAATACATAATAGCATTAAACACAGCCTATATATTTCTTCTTCAACAGTAAAACTGGGCAAACAACTTCATACTAACTAAAGATATTTCAACACTAACAAGCCAGTATGTGGGAGGAGGTGACTCTCCATAAACCATTAAATGTAATGTATGAATCAAAGCCAGAAAACTCAATAAGTTTAAGTTGTTTCAGTTTTGTAAATTGCACTGTGTGTATATAAGAGAAGAAGATTCTCACTGAACTAAACATAACCTTCAATTATAACATTTGCAACTTAAAAAACCCCCTCTGCTTAGCTTTAGTATGTGTAAGCACTAGCTTGAGATAGCCTCATTGTACTTAACAGTATTTTAACAACTTTATTTTTATAGGAGGGGCTTATGAGCAATATAAGTTTTTACTTTATTTTCTACTTTTATTTTTAATTTATTTTTTTTCTTTTAATAACTTGGCAGGTGAGGAAGGAAGAAAGGGCAACCTAATTAGTCCTCTGCACAGTTCTCCTGCTCCCTCCTTCTCACAGTTTGACTGTCACTTCAGTGAAATAACTATGTTTTTCCATGTATGTGTTTGCACATACATGGTTTCCTTAACCACTCTTGAGTCCTTCTGCCTGACTCATCCACATTGGATACTTTTACGGGATACATCTTTTAAAAAGAATGCTTACATGAGACGTGGGTGAAGCAAGGCAGAATGAGAAACGTTCCTTGTTGATAGCTGGGGGTGGTGAGGCGTCAGTGGAAGAAAATATTACTCATAAGTCAACCTGGCAACTTCCCAAGCTCAACTACTAAAGGTGCATCAGAGAATATATTTTGCTAAGCAAGAAACAAGCCTCTTGGTCTAAAAATACAACATGGAATAGGAAGTAGGCATGTTCGTACAATAAAGATATTTCTGCTGCAGAAAGCAAATAAAGATTTTTTACAAGGTATTTAACATCTGCATTTTTTCAAAGCTTTCTTGAAATGGCAGGGACTATTTTCTCAGTGCAGTGAGGAACAGGACCTGAAGGCATTGGCAACATCTCTGCAAACTGGAAGGGGGAGTAAAAGAAAAAGAACTAATGTTTCTTCCTAGAACAGTTTAATAACAGAAAATCTCCTGGAAGCAAACCAGCCAGAAAGCTTTGTTAACCCAACTGTGTTACGTACTACAGCTACAATATAGACACTAAAAGTCATTTTTAGATGCCTAAGCCCAGAAGTTAAGGAGTGGTGTTTATTTCATACCAGAGGAATAAAAAGTCTTCGAAATCCTTTCAGGCTGACACGTTTGTACATAAGCTCAGCAGGAGGGAAAGACAAGGAGAAAGAGAGATTTTTTACCAGAATGATACTGCACCAGCCAAGGTGACTGAAGGCATGTGGTCTTTGGGAAAGAAAACTGTATTCTCAGCAAAAAAAACCCCACTTTTAGAAACATCTGAAATCCATGCCTGAATTATAGCACTGTTTGCTTCCTACATAGAGCAGCGGTTTAATGAGGTGTTGCAGAGGAGCCGGCCAAGCTTGGCTTCCAGCACAACACGGACATACTGCCCAAGCCTGACGACTGCAGGTAGCTCTGCACTGCAAGAGCCAGCCTGGGACCTCCCTCAAACCCGCTTGATACGAACAATGGTGGGAACATCCCATTCGAGAGGTTTCTGCCTTCAAGGATTTCCTCCATGTTGCAAGGACACAATACACGCCTACACTCCACCCAGAGAGCATAACTGGCCTTCTCATCTCCTCCACATGTGGAAACATCAAAACAACCCATTCATCCAAGTCAACAACAGATGTGCTACGATAAAAGCTGCAATATGCACATCGTGTGCCACCAGGGCTTGGTGGCCTACCTGGAAAGCAAGGTAACCATCAGTTACTGACTTCAGTGCCCCAATCCCAGACTATGGCCAAAGCCTCAAGGGAACTAATTTTGTAGTCCCATTTTGCCTACACTCGTAAGTCTTACCTACACTCCAAAGTCTTACCTACAACTCCTTCAGCAATTACAGAAGTCACAAAGGGTTGTTGTTTTGTTGTTTTTTTTGTGAAGGCTGAGCTTATGCAGAGAGATGCCTCAAGCTATTTTCTTAAAGGTCTTGGCTTACAGAAAGAGAAGTAGACTATGACAGCACCAATGAATCCAGAGCTTCAAGATGTAAAAGGAAAGCTGAATGCATTTGAGTTGTTGATCTCATGTGCTATTCTGGATCTAACAAAATAAATATTTATGCAGGGACCACCCTTAAGCAGAGCAGCTCCTAAGGAGTGCCAGTAATGACTGTACTGACTTCTAGCAGTGCTGGCAAAAATATTTATGTTAGCCATATGCTTTTTGAGAGAGCAGGTCTTTTGTCTCATTACATCTGTAAGTCAACCAGCCCCGCTTTCTGCACGCAGATGCAGATGACAAACATTCACATTCTGTTTGTTCCCCTAGTTGTCTCTGAGTGACATTATCTTGGTTTCAAGCCACGGATTTTGCCAAACTGGAACAGTTATAAAAATAGGTTAGGGAAAAATGTCATAGGATAACCAAGCAAACTCACTCAACACAGTATTTTACTTTTAAACATAGATTTAGAATAGTTCAGAGGTAAAAAAAAATCCACAAATACACTCTACTCGTATACCTACCCAAGAAATAAGATATGCTTCACAGACCAGTGCAGCACTTCTGCCACAACAGTGCACGAGATTTTAAAAAACAAAAAAGCCAAGAAGAAAGATGACAACTGCTTTAAGTCAAAGCTTTAGGAGTCTTCATATCCACAATCAGACTAGTCTGACCTGATCTGTTCTTCTATAAAGAATGAATGCTGACTGGTATGTCAGGCCTGTTTGCAGGAAGAGGGCAGCCAGATGGTGAAATGAAGAGCAGCGTTTCCCCTTAATTGTCCACCATTCACGTGGCCTGGGTTACTTTAGGGTCTTTTTTTAGGCGATTTTTAGGAAAATGCAGTAAAAAGAGATTCCACATGACCTGCACAATGTAAGAAAGAATGCACAAGTGAAACAGTTACAGGGGTCTCTCCGTATGCACAGGGCTGTGTCACTACAGAGATGCCAACATACTCCAAGACAAGCACAGTGGTGTGAGCCAACTCCATGCAGTGCTGAACTGCAGCTCCTACTCTCAGCTGAGGAAGGACTCCAAGTAGCATTAGCTCCACTTCTCCTGGGCTGTACTCTGTTCAGGCTAGCTCATAAAAATAAAGTTTAAATGGTGGGTGACTTAGGCTTGACACGATAAAAGGTAAGTAATTCCTTGGGAAAGAGACGTTTGCCCTTTCACGGATGGTGGACTCCATCAGTGGCATGGGAAAATGAGACAATTTATCTTCCCTGTTTTCCCCTTCATCTGGACCAACACCTCTCCTCTGTAGTGCTGCATTTGCTATTTAAATGCCTTAACTAGCACCTTACTTTTTAAAGGTTCCAAGCCTAGAGATGATTTGAGAAAATGCAACATAAGGAACTTCTGTTTGTCACAGTGCACAGTGCCCAACGTATTAGCAAAAAAAGCTGCACTGTCTTTGAACAGGCAAGAGTTAAAACCCTCTTTCTTGCTCCCATATTTAACAACTCCACAAAGCATAGTGGGGCCAGAAGAAGCAGCGATTTCTTTTTCTTCTTTTTCTTTTCATTATTATTATTTTTAAAAGCAATGGCAGTGCAGAAGCCAGAAAGAAGTCAGTTCAGCCTACAGTCAGTCTTCATTCCACAGAACAGATTTGTGAATCTGGCAAGTATTTTTATTTGTATACCAGACAAATTTTATACAGAAGTCAATGAAATGAAGGAAATATGGAAATGCTTCATGTCGCTTCTGCGTCACTTTCCAGACTGTGATCATACACTTAGAGTAAGCACACTAGCACATTCCTGGCATATGACAATTGTGCTCTCTGCTATTGCATTTCCAACCTACAAAGAGGCAGTAAGAAACAACTTCTTTTAAAGAAAAGGCAACCGACCACATGAAGGCTCTTTTTTTCAATACAGAGTCAAGAAGCAGGCCCAGCACACCATTAGTAAATAGATACTTGGTAGTTACTGGAAATGCTTGCAATTTTGCTAAACAAGACACTTTTGTTCTGCTGCACACCATACCTCTTAACTACTGGAAGAACAACCTGATCCCAGACTGTTCCTTTCACTGCAGACAGATGCACAGTGAGTCAAAAGCAGTGTCTGGATTTGAGTTTAAGATCCATTACCTATCAGTTCAGCTCGGAAGTATTTGGTCTGATGATTTTTATTTTTTTTCATGTAGGCCCTGCATGCTTTCAGAGCTCGCTCACTACCACTAGCAGCCACAGGTCCCTCCTGATCAAAAAGCTTTTCCAAACACACCTCAAGACTAAGACAAGTTATGTCCCTACTGATGTTAGCTCTCTCATAGAAGTTTTTAGGCATTTTTAAAATCTACTGTACCAACCTCGTGTTATGAAGAACATAAGGTATCAACTACTGACCCTCTGCCTGGGCTGGCAGGTTTAAGAAAGTGGACTGACTGCAAGTTGGTAAGGGGAACATCTCAGACAGATATGCAAACACCGTAGCACATTTTAACTTCTGGTATTGCAGATATCTTAAAAAAAACCCCACAATTGTTGCCCACATAAATCTTTCTGTGTCTGTTAAAATGTCTGTTTCAAATTGCTGCTTATCCATAACATCACTAACAAAAAGACTGAAAACTAACACCGTGACTGGTACAGTCTTCTAACAGTAACCCATGACCATAATCCTCAACTTGAAAATGTTGCTATTAAAAAAAGAAACATGTCCATATATACATCCACCTCATGTTATCTATAAAATTATTGTTAATCTGCATTTATATGTGCAGAACAAACCAACCTTTTTTTAAAAAAGGACACTATTTAACATAAAACAACATTTATTTGCATCACTGGACGTTTTCAAGACACAGATTCAGGCTTGTTTCTTAAATGCTTGAAAGCAAATCAAAGAGACAGACTCGTACCTGTATCAGGCATTTACTGACATCACTAGCACAGAGAGCCTTGTTGCAGCCTGTTGAAGACTGGATCCACAGCAGGAACAGGAGGAGAGTGACTGTGGGCACTGTGACGTACTGCGACCTCATGTTTCCTGCAGGTGAGCAATTTTCACAAGTACTGCAACCCGCACTGAAATAAAAACCAACCGAAAAGGCTATTGGGAAACCAGGTAAATCCTATTCCCCTTCCCCTATATTTGGAAAAAAATGTAAAATAAAAGCAACTTGGGGTGTTTAACAACAAACCCAACCCTCTCCTCCCAGCTAATTTGCTTATTTGAAGTTTTCTGCTATTGTGCCTTTGGATGAAAACTGCAATAAACTTCAGGTGACCAGTCTTGAGTTTGTGAAATTCAATACAATACCCTCTAAGCAGTGACGACCAAAAAAATGCCTCAGAAGAGAAAACCCACCAATGAAGACCCAATTCTATAAATTCATAAAGCAGACAGTTTTCATGCAGTATCTCCTCAGGCTAAAGGTACACACAGGTGTCCAGGTCTAAAGCTGCACAGCAACCTTTCAGGACACGTAAGGTGAGCTGCCATGTCATCTTTGATGTAGACAGGCAGTTGTTTTCATACCACCAGTTAGATGTTACATAGGCTTTCAATTAAATCACAAAGTTGTTAAGCTCTTTTTAGAAAAAAACACAGATACCAACATTGAAAAAAAAACACCCAAATGCCAACATTGTAAAAAAAACCCAAACTACATGAGACTTCTCAAACAACAGAACTTTCAAGAGCCACCCAAGTGACTGAAGTCAACCTGAGACAAGCATCTGCTACTTCAAACAGGGGAACTGGGTTTGTTCAAAGCATTCCACCCTTCTCCCTTTCCGAAAGCCCAGCTTCTCGGCAGGTGGTATTTGTTCCAAATCCAGCGTGATTAGCAATTTGCCAGCGAGTTCTTGTACTTAGCCTGTGAACCCCGCGAAAAGAGAACCCTACTGCACTAGGCACCGCACCAATGCATAATGAAAGGCAGCCCATGTTTGGGCAAGCTTACAGTGAGCCTGTATTGTTCTCCTAAGAGGGAAAAAATGCTAATGGGGCACTGTTGGGTTTTGTTTTGTTGTTGCTGTTTTTTTCTTTCTGTATCTAGAAATGTTTTTCTGCTTTATGAACTCAAAAAACCCCCCTACCCTCCCATCAGCAATATCCGACCGTAAAAAAAAGGAGAAAAACAAGCCAACACGTAAATAAGGCACGATCTCGACCTCTCAAGCCTGTGTCAGATCAGCCTTTCTTACAGCGGTTATTAGAGGCTGGCGAGCCTCGCTGCGCTGGGCAGCCCCGCAGGACCGGGAGACACGCGTGGAACACACGGGATCCCTCTCCTTAGTGCGGGGGGCACCGCTCGCTTTCCCTCCCTCCCACCCAGCGGGAATAAAGTCTCCCTTGGCCAGGAGCCGGTCCCA